TCTCTCTCAAATAAATAAATAAAATCTTTAAAAAAAACAAAAACAAAAAAAAAACGAACAATGCTACCACGAATAGGCCTGTATATGTCTCCTTATATGTAAGACTTTCTCTAGAGTCTATTATCTAAGAGTAAAATTGCTACGTTGAAGAGTATTTAAAATGTTCAACTCTATTAGGTTCTGACAAACTTTTCCAAAGTGGTTTGCACTTTGGAAATTTGCACTGTCACTTACAGAAGCAGTGGAAGATGATCCAACTTTTTAATTTTTGCCAAACTCATTTATGCTCACATTTCTCTAATTACTAATGAGCTTGAACATCTTTTCATAAATTTGTGGATCATTTGTATTCTCTCTTTTGTGAATTATCTTCTGCCCATTTTTCTATGAGGTTGTCTTTTACTTATTTACTAACACCCTTTGTTAGATGCAGGTTTTGTAAATACGTTCTCCTACTTTGTGGCTTATGTTTTCAGTCTCTTTTGGGGATTTTTACATGAACAGAAGCTCTTAAGTGGAGTCAGATTAATCAACCTCTTCCTGTATAGTTTGCACTTTATGTGTCTTCTATGACAAAATCTTCCCTACCTTGAGTTCATAAGGCTATTCTCCTAAAAAATTAGTAGTTTTGCCTCTATAGAACATGTCTAGGTCTTTAATTTATCTGGAATTGATTTCTGTGCATATGGTTTAAGATAGGGATCCACTTTCTTTTTTTTTTTTTTTTGGTTTTGCAAATAAATAAGCCATTGTTGTATGATTTACTGAAAAGTCTATCCTTTCCTCATGATCATGCCTGTTGTGTTATAATGTAAGTTTTCATATATGTGCGGATCTGTTTCTAGGCCATTATGTTCCATTGGTCTATTAATCTGTCCCTACACTAATATCACAATCTCTTCATTAATATGGCTTTATATTAAATCTTGATATTTGACTGGACAAATCCTTCCACCTTCTATTTCTTTAGAAGTATCCTGTTTAGGGCGCCTGGGTGGCTCAGTCGGTTAAGCGACTGCCTTTGGCTCAGGTCATGATCCTGGAGTCCCGGGATCGAGTCCCGCATCGGGCTCCCTGCTCAGCGGGGGTCTGCTTCTCCCTCTGACCCTCCTCCCTCTCATGCTCTCTCTCTCGCAAATAAATAAATAAAATCTTTAAAAAAAAAAAAAAGAAGTATCCTGTTTATTGTCAGGCTTTTCTTTCACGTAAATTTTAGAACTGGCTTGACAAATTCCATGGATATTCCCTACTAGGATTTTTACCGGAACATCAATGAATCTATAGATGAATTCAGGGAGAATCAATACTTTGCAAGTATATATTCCAATCTAAGACTGTGATATTTATTTAGATCTTTATTATTGTTTACTCATTATAATTTTCTTCAAAAGAGGCTTGTACATTTTTTTTTTAAAGATTTTATTTATTTATTTGACAGAGAAAGAGAGAGCACAAGCACAGGGAGCGGCAGGCAGAGGGAGAGGGAGAAGCAGGCTCCTGCCGGGGAGGGAGCCCAATGTGGGCCTGGATCCCAGGACCCTGGGATCATGACCTGAGCCAAAGGCAGATGCCCAACGCCTGAGTCACCTAGGTGTCCCGAAGCTTGTACATTTTTTGTTAGATTTATTCCTTAGTATTCCATATTTTGGGTTGCTATTTTAAATGGTCTATTTTTCTAAACTGCTTTTCTAAACAACTGTTGTACTATAAAGATATAAAAAATTCAAATGTATATTAGATTTTGTATATTGACTTTTGCATTCAACAGCCTTGTTAGACTTTAATTCTAATAATAAATATGTGGATATTTTGAGGTCTTCTAGGTTGACATCGTATCTAATGGTGGCAGATTTATTTCCTTACTCTTTTCTAGTTCTCATACCTTTTAATTCTTTTTATCTTACTGCACCAGCTCAGACATCCAGTATGATGCTGAATAGAAGCTGTGAGAGCAGGTGTCCTTGTCTTATTCCTTTCTTAAAGGGGATGCTCTCAACAATGCTTTCAATTTTACCATTATGCATGAAGTACCTAAGGATGTTTTTTGTATGGGAACTTTACATGTTTAAAGAAGTTCCATTTCATTCATCATTTGCCAAGAGTTTATTTATCATGAATGAGTATTAAATTTTGTCAAATTTTTCCCCCATATCTTTAGATGACCATGGTTCTTCCTCCTTGAATCTACCAGATGATAAATTACAGTAGTTGGTTTTTCTGATATTAACCAAGCTTGCATTAGTGAGATAAAGACAATTTGGTTGTGATGTATTATTTTACACATTGTTGGATCTGGTTTGCTAATTTTTACTTGAGTATTTTTGCTGATTATGAATGGCACAGCCACCCTTTAAAAGATGCAAAAGAAAGCAAAACATATAAGAAAACAATTAGTAGTATTTCAAATTCTATGATGTTTCACTGCCACCTTGTGGCAGGAAGCAATATCAGCAATACGAAGCTTTTAAAATCTTAGCTAGAGGTGTTTCACATTTAGAAACTGCATACATCATTTAATGAAGCTCTTCAGAGAAAGCCAGGGATAAATTCCACTGAAATGATACACTGAAAAGTACTGGAAAATCTGAGCCTTTTTCAGATGACTGTGGCTCAATCTGTGGATTAGCTGCCAAGAGGCAAGCTCTTCAGATAGAGTTTTTCAATTTCAGCCTGGTCATGACTCAACCAACTCTCACTAAACAAGGTCAAGAAGACATCAACAGGGAATACTCATCTCCACTAGAAAAATTATCTCAACTCTTTCCCAGAAGCACACCGGATTCACAATCTCATCAAGCTGTGTTTTGTTGTCCTTTCTTGGGCACCAGTGGGATATGGAGGTTTAGTTTTTAAGGAAGGGGTAACAGGGGGAAGAGTTTGTTCATGGCAGGTGTTAGTGACAGGAAGAACTGGCTCAGTGACTGCACAGTCCTACAGGGAACCTTTCTCAGAAACAGAGTCCTCAGGAAGAGGCTTACCATTCTGGAACTGGGTCTCCACTCGCAGGTACTGCCGCAGCAGATCCATCACCACAGCCTTCATGTGGCCTCGGATGCCACTTCGGTACCTATGCAAGCAGAAGAAGTCTCCAGTGAAAACCCCGACAGGCTAACACTATTAAATAACAGACTATTTAAATTATAAGCCCAGAGCCCAGGTTTACTTTCTAGATTTTCTACTGAACTGCTTTCCCACTGAGTTCTAGGGCAGGACAGAGGCCAGCCTAAAATCAACTAACTGGATCAACTTAAATTCTAAGCCTAAGAAATCTGCCTATAGACAAGATTTTTCTTTTTAATTAAAGGAGAGAGGAAAAAAGGAGGACAAAACCCCAAAAACCACTTGATAGCCCTACGTAACAGCACTCTGGTTCAGTTCCCACTGCTAAGAATCAATGATCACTACACTCCTGAAATGGCTAAGAGCTATCTGAAAAATTTATGAGCATCTCAAAGTTGAAAATGTTCTGTCAATGTTCCTTCTGTCCAATAGTTGGCTCCATAAGCTAAGGAATGAATGTCATACTCGGCCCTGTGCCAGAAGAAAAATTAGGAGTTTCATCAAAATTGCAAGGAAAGGGGTGCCTGGGTGGCTCAGTTGTTAAGTGTCTGCCTTCGGCTCAGGTCATGATCCCAGGGTCCTGGGGTCGAGCCCCGCATCGGGCTCCCTGCTCAGAGGGAAGCCTGCTTCTCCCTCTCCCATTCCCCCTGCTTGTGTTCCTGCTCTTGCTCTCTCTCTAATAAATAAAATCTTTAAAAAAAAAACTGCAAGGAAAAAGAAAGCAATGAAATTTCTGTGCCTTAATAATCGACAGAAAGATGTAGACTAGAAAGAAGTAATCAGAAATATTTTAGCTCGCAATTCTAAGGTACTTAGAAGATACAAGGTATTTTCTAAGATACAAGTGCTTTCTAATTTCTCTAGTCAAACCTGAGGTAAATCTCTTGGTGACTACTTAGAAGAAAAGAATCTTTCTTCTGGAGTTACATGTAACTACCTCTGAACCAGCTGGACAATGCTCTGAGTGTTCATGAAGAAGACTTCCCGCTCAGATTTCCGGTTCAATGTAGCGGCATGGCTATCTAGGATGTTGGCAATCTAAAGCAGTAGAAAGAGAAAAAAAAAATGAACCCAAACCAACAAAGGGACCCAAAGTATTAGCCTGTGTAGCATCACAACCAGTAATCTCAATTATAACATGATCATTTCCGTCTTTCCCATGTTGGGAGCAACTGGAAGTTACTGGGCATAGGTTAGAGGCTTGTGTGAAATAAGCAACTTTTATTTCTTTTCACCCTTTCCCATATGAACTAATGAGTGTATCACAAAAGATACCACCCCACCAGAGGCCCTTGACAGGCAGGATATGCTTATGGTCAAGGTCCAAACTTTAGTCCCTACTTGCCTAGCTTAACTCCCTACATGTAAATTAGCTTCACAGGCAAAGGGTAAGCATGCTGCTGGGACAGTAAGGAAGTTGTTGCTAATAAAACTTCAAATATCTCCCTACTTTAAATTCACAAAATTCATCTAATTAGGGCACAGGCCCAAGAATAAACCTCTATGAACTACATGGCCAGTAGGTTTTCCTCATAACCACAAATACTTTACATTTCACATATAGTATACTTTTGTTATTGGGCTTATATCCTGAGACACTTTTGTGAAGGGCACAACAACACTCAAGACTGCAAAAGCACAAGATCCAGAGAGAGGATCCAAACAGGAAGGAATCCTACATGAACTCCAGAATTGGTAGCTAGTAGAGAAAATGTCACTCTATAAATACCTGCTGGCTGGGAAACTGACAGAGGACTGATGTGATGTTGCTAGCGTACTGAGCCATTTCCTTCTTGATAGACTTCTCCACATTGGGGGGAACACGGCCAGAGACACTGGTCATGATATCTTGCAATTCTAGGAGAGGCAAGGAAGGATCTCTGAGGGTCTTCATCAACCGCTCTACCCAGTCTTTTACCTGAGAAGAAAATAATAAAATAAGATCCAGACAAAATTAACACAATCCCCAAAATAAAGTGATATCTCTAAATTCAGTACCATACAGTATTTACTGTGAAACTGCAATATAGGCACCTAACACTGCCATTGTTCTCTGGTTTAAATCCCAATTAAATGTGAAATCAGTAACACAGATAAGAAGCAAGGATTTAAAGACTTCAAATCCCATAAATCAAGGTTTCAGGCCCAACAGCTTTCTTTCACTCCCTCTAAAAAAATCCTCATGTGACTTTTAATCTATCTTGGAGAACAGGTACCCTATTTGTACATCCTTTCCCGAAGAGAAGTGATTCATACCCTGCTACTAAAAAAAGGATCTGGAAGGCAGTATCCATTCATTACGTTGACCAGATTATCCAGGACATAGTGGAACACTCGATGGAGCTTCTCGCCTCTGAGTGCTGTGCTCTGGATCCGTGGCAGACTACCCGTGTGAAGCTCAGCCTGTCAACCCCAATGAGAGATCAAGTCATCCACTACCTTCTATCCAGGTTACACACACACCACTGCAACTTAGATTCATCATTCAAAATCAAGACATCCCTTCATCATACCCAGCTACAAGGAGAGAAGTCAATGGAGGAAGCGTCATGAGGAAATCATAGAATATCAGTATCACAGTAATTCTTGCAAAGTCTAGTTCCATAACATTATAGGCACAAATACAAGGCATGAGATCAGAGGGAAGGAAGCTTAAGAAAAGAAAAGCTTAAGGAAACTAAACACTGAAATCATCTGCCCCCTCCAAACTACCCCTACCATGTTATCAGCTCTTGGAGAGCAAAATTAAAAGTACCTTCCTACTCACCTGTTGGACCTTGCTGGGGTTGTCCAACTGCATTTTGGCTATTACACAGCCAGGGTCAAGAGCTGCTCCAGGCCGTTTGACATAATGGATACAGCCAGACTCTGCAGCTGTTAAGGTCATTACCATCTTCATCACCTATAATGAAAAATGAATAAAATTAGAGTTTACCCTCTCTTTACACAGATGAATGATTTAAAGAGGCTAGTTTTTCGCCTCAACATCTAAGTCATATTATCTCTAATTCAACCCAGAAAAATGAGAAACCTGAAACCTCCAAGAGAGTACAAGGAAAGCAATTAGAAAATCTCTCAGGACCTAGCTTTAGGGATTAGTGACAGCTACTGACATTTCCTGTTTCTAATGTTTAAATTGATTTTGCCATAGTTTGTGTTTTACTTGTTTTATACTTAGAACTGATTAACGATTTAGCCTCCTCATACCCATGGCTTTAGGTGCTTGGTCTGTCAACCTAAGATTCCCACGCCAAAACCTGAGGGTCATTCTTTACTCCTCTTTCTCCCTTACCCGCCAATTACCAAGCCCAGCCAAGTACCTCTTCTAAAGCTCTCTCAGAAATCTTCCTCTCTTGCCATCTCTTTGATTTAGGCCCTTATCATGTCTGGCCTAGAGTACTTGAAAAACCTCCCAACAGGATTCCCTACCCACTATACATCTTCAACGAGGTCACTAAATGCAATCATTCTAGAGCCCAAATCTCGTCGTTATCACTCTTCTGTGTAAAATCCTCAGGGACTCCTCACTGCCTCCAGGACAGTCTCAACATCTTAGTATGTCTCATAAGGTCCTACATGACCTCAAGTTCTGATTACTTATTTAGCATCTTTGCTTGCCACTTCCCATTTAACCTCAGTCCATTCTCAAGCAATACAATATGTACTTGCAGTTCCCTAAATATACTATCTTCTCTTCTGTGCCTTTGTTCACGCTATTCTTCCCTTTACACATTCACCCTGCCCTTCTTCACCTGGTGTATTACTACCTATCTTTCAAAAGTAAGATCCAAGTCCTCTCTCAGGAAGTTTTCCCCTACTACCCACTACATCCACCAGCTGCACCCCAATCTGGGTTAAGCAGCCCCCTGCACTCTGTGCTTAGCTCTCTCAGAATTCGTATTTCATTACTTGTCTGTTTTGTGGCCCCACTCCACCTATCATATTTTTTTCTGTATAACCAGCACTTAGCAGGATTCCTGACATTCAATAAGTGCCATTGTCTAGTATCTATCTTTGGAGGAAGAGACTCCTCATCTGTCAAAGAAAAACTCTGAGCTTATTTGTTTTTTTTTGGTTTTTTTTAAAGATTTTATTTATTTATTTGAGAGAGAGAGAATGAGAGACAGAGAGCATGAGAGGGAGGAGGGTCAGAGGGAGAAG